CAGCAAGGTTACCTTTCCACCTGACCAGAGCAGCCAAGAGGAACACAAAGCCAGAGTCTTTGGACTGAAATATCATTAACCAGAGAAGACTAAACGCATGCAGAAGAAACAAAGTCTGAAGTCTGTCAACTCAGCTGGATAGTCTTATGTCACATACCACTATCCCTTAGAGAATCATTCACAAACTAATGTTTGTTCTTTGAGTCAGACAGACTTTGTCCCAGACATTGTATGTTTTCCAAACTTATTGACTTTTTACAAAAACTACTTATAGTCACTTAATATTTTCCATAACTCCTAATTTCCTTTCCCTTTAGACATGAAAGGGGTTGGGAATATAGTTTAGTATGTGCTTAATGTACTCATGTGAACCCTGGATTCCTAGAATGATAAACAAAAAACTCAATACATTTATAGACATGAGGTATATCAACATCTATCATGCATGACCAACATGTGTCCAATGGCCACAGGATAACTATGAATGTGTTCCAATACATTTGAAGATGACAATGTCATACAGCAATGTCAAAACATCAGACACTCCTGAATCATTTAGGGGTCATGAGATTCACACTATGTGATTGCTTTTACGTGTGCAACCCAATACTTCTTCTCATATTTAATGTTTTTATCAGTTTATGGCAGCAAATAGAGAAGAGGCCATAGTCCCTACATACTTACATTCTATTACCACAATTTTATACACATATACAGACACACTAAATGCTATTAGTAATTGTTAAGATTCCTTTGTTTTCAGATTGGCAAAATTTGTCCCAAGTTACCAACCTTGGGCCATACTGACCCCAACTTTATTTCCTTATCTTTTACATTAGTTTTTCTATAATGGATTTTGAGACAAAGTAGCTCTATGTAGCTCTGGCTGTCCTGGAACTCCCTATGTAGACCAATCTGGCCTTAAACTCAGAAATTCACCTGGCTCTGCCTCCTGAGTCCTAAGATTAAAGGTGTACACCATCATGTCCAGCTGAATTTAGACTTTTAAAACAAACAAACAAAAAAAAAAAAAACAAGTCACACTGAAAGCATCATACTGAGAACAAAAACTGTAATATATAATTTATGTTTATGTTTATTTATTTAGGGTATTTTGTTTTGTTTTGTTTTGTTTTGTTTGTTTTTTGAAACAAGGTTTCTCTGTGCAGTCCTGGCTGTCCTGGAACTTTCTCTGTAGACCATGCTGGTCTCAAACTCAGAGATCCACCTGTCTCTGCCTCCCCAGTACTGGGACTACAAATATATACCACCAAGCCAGGTGTAGTGACACATGCCTTTAATCCCAGAACTCAGGAGGCAGAGGCAGGCAAATCTCTGCGAGTGTGAGGCCAGCCTATTCTACAAAAGGAATTCCAGGACAGTTAGGGGTACACAGAGAAACCATGACTTGGGAAAAAGAAAAAAGTGTATGTCACTAAGCCTGGATCTCTATTTTTATTTTTTGAGACTAGGTCTCACTATGTAGACCAGATGGGTCTCAAACTCAAGAGATTCACCTCCCTCTGCCTTCTGAGTGATGGGATAAAGGTCTGTGACACTATACCCTGCCCTGCCTTGTCCTGTTCATTCCCTTGCTTCCTTTATTGCCATATCTGAAGATCAAACTTGGGGGCCCATAAATCTGATGAAAACACTCTACTACTGAGCTATACCACTAGCCCATTTGTACAATCTTAAATGGCTATTGTGGATGTTCAACTCTCTCGTCTATTGTCTTTGAAAGAACTATTGGTATTGTGGATATTTCTCCTACATGCCTTCTGCCATGAGAGAAAGAGAGTTTATGAAAGCGGACAGTTAGAAGAAATCACTAGTTTTTAAACCTTTGAGTCCTTAGCATAAAATGTTATAATTAGAAAAAAAGCCCCAATAATTCATTCTTACTGTTCACAGGATTTAAGCTCAGTCAACTGTTATATTCTCAATATGTGACTTTAAAATATTTCAGTTGTTAATTAAATAACGAAATCAATGAAAACTGCTTCACACTCCCATGCTACTGAAACCTAATTAATAGTGCAATTTTGAGCCCGGGAGTTCCAATAGTTTGGGCTCTATCTAGGAACCATGAGGGGAAAACTTTCATCATATGATCTAGGAGCAAGACTAAGAACATGCTTTTGACTCTTTAAAGTGCAAAGTCCCAGAGGAAAGTTTGGTCATTTTTTATGTTCTTTAAAGTTCTATTTATTGGGGTTGCTCTTGCTGTGGCTGCTTTTTCAGATGACCCAGATTCGACTCCCAGAACCTGTATGGTGGCTCAACTCCAGTTCCAGTTTATCTGACATCTTTCTCTGTCCTCCACAGATACCAATCTTGCAAGTGGTGCACATACATGCAGGCAAAACATTCATATAAATACATAAAAATAATTTAAAACTTAAAAGATTCATTTATTTTTATGTGTATGAGTGCCTACACGTATTTATATGTATCATATATCATATTTGTATGTATCATGGAGAGGGCAGAAGAGGGTATTGGATCTCCAGAGTTATAGATGCTTGTGAGCCATAAAATGAGTGCTCAGACCTGAACCCAGGTCCTCTGGAAGCCAGTGCTCTTAACCACTGAGCCATCTCTCCAGACCCCCATTTCTGACTTGGATTAGTTAAATTTCTGGGTACTGTTGAGTTGGGCTCCAGAGCTAGAGCCATCTTAGCCTAATGGCCACTTTTGGGTTTTGTTCTTTGGGTTGTTTTGTTTTGTTTTGTTTTCAGCCAATACAAATTCTTTATCTGTGAGATGGAGATTATATTTCCTACTTTGTAGGATTACTGTGAGGACTAAATGAGAAACTATATTTTGTTTTTAGGTGATATACTATAGTGGGAAAATTTCCATTGAGAATCTATTTGTTGTGGGATATTTATTCACACTGTGAAACTCCAAGACTGTGTTAATAAAATTAACCTTTGATTGGGGGCAGAGCCAGCGACTAGTTGACAAAAATTAGCCAGAGTTTGGAGGACTCAGAAATACGGAAGGAGAGATGCACAGGAATGAGTAGGGAGGGACTTAGAGATTTTCAGTCTTTTTGGTTTGGGATGAGTGGAGAGATGATTCTTTTGCTGAGTCTCCAGCAAAAAAGGAAGGTCAGCTGGTTGCTCCTCAGCTTCTCTGATCTAGCAGGTTTTCACTCTGTCTCCTGAACAAAAAGTATGTGCCACCACCACCTGGCTTGTATGTGTTCTTAAGACTGGAACTTCTCGACTGGGTGGCAGTGGCCCATTCCTTTAATCCCAGCACTCGGGAGGCAGAGCCAGATGGATCTCTGTGAGTTCAAGGCCAGCGTCAGGCACCAAAACTACACATGATCCTCCTCCTTCAACCTCCCCTGACATTAGGGTTTACTTGTTTGTTTTAAGAACATAGAAATATCAACTTCAACATTGTGGTTTGTTCAGGAAAGCCGAGAAATCCAACATGGATGAGGCAGACACATCCCTAAGGGAAATGACTTCAGTAAATAAGTTAGAGAAATGTAAAAGGCTTTGTATAACGTTGTACTCTTAAGAATGGAAAGCTGCCGGGCGGTGGTGGCGCATGCCTTTAATCCCAGCACTCGGGAGGCAGAGCCAGGCGGATCTCTGTGAGTTCGAGGCCAGCCTGGGCTACCAAGTGAGTTCCAGGAAAGGCGCAAAGCTACACAGAGAAACCCTGTCTCGAAAAACCAAAAAAAAAAAAAAAAAAAAAAAAAAAAAAGAATGGAAAGCTATTGGGGTTACAGAACAAAGAGAATAATACTTAGATCTAGAGTTTAGAAAAAGAATCTTACTTTGATGTGTACAACTGGCTGGAGAAGAGGTAGAAAACTAGAGAATGTTAAAATAATTTAAGCCACTAGGCAGAAATTTCTAATAGGGAGCTAGAAATATTCAAAGATTGAGACTATAATTTGAGGAAAGATTATCAGGTGAGTATAGCAGCAGAAGAGGTTTTAAAATGTCCACATTTCAAGGCTTAAATCTGAGAAACACAAAGGAATAATGGCACAAAAGCCTAGAATGAGAGTTTTAAGAAGAGCGAGTAAAGAAAAATGCACTTAACAAAAGTTTGCGGTATGGTTGATGCCAGATAATAATACAGAAGGCAAACTTTACAATGTAGACTGACACTCTCTCTCAGTGCAACGTAGAGACAGACACCCAGCAGCACCATGGAGGTTTGGCTAAATTTTTTTTTTTTTTTTTTTTTTTTTACCTGTAATTTCAGCACTCAGAGATTGGAGCAGGAGAACCAAGAGTTTGAGGTCAGACAGGGCTACACCTTATAAATTATTAATTAAAGGAATTCTCTGCCCTATCTAGATTTACAGAGCCAAAGCTCAGACAAACAGTGGTCACATTTGGGAATAATGGATTTGAACCATCGTATTTACTTGCAAAATCTGATAGTATGGGTAAGAACATAGAGGTAGCTTGAAGTGAAGGCAAGTGATTAAAGTTCCCACTTGGCTTCAGATTCTGTCATTTTAAAAGAAAAACAATTAATTTATGTAAATCCCGAGAGACTCTCCAGAGGCATGCAGAACCTGGGTAATCAAATCGTGACGCAAGGTAAAGAAGCGATTTCACTCTACCATTGAGAGGAGTCCTAGATTTAAAACACCTAGATTTAAAACATCCCAATTCAGCGCGCCGGCGAGGCGCCCAGGACGCGCGGCATTGTGGGATTTGTAGTTCCGGTTTGTCCCCTTCTACTACTACAAATCCTCGGTTGTTCACTGAAATGGACCAGGTTCTGACAGGACCTGGACCTTCGGCGCCTAGGCAGAATGTCCGAGTCTCACCGTTTCTTCCTCGGCCTGCGATCTAGGGCCCAGAAGGAGACAGAGCCTCCGCGCGCGACGCCTCAGCCGCACGACGCACACACTCTGCGTCACCGCGGGCTGCGGCGGATGATGAATTCCGGTGTGCATGTTAGGGTTGCTGTGTCACTCAGTCCGATCGGCGCGCCCCTTCCCCCGCAGTCCTTCCGCACCGGCTGACGGGCTCTTCCGGTCTCCCGCGCCCCTCACCTGCAGGCGGGTCTCGGGCCGCAGCCTGGCGCACGCCGGCTCGGGCCTGTGGACTAGTCTCGCGCTGTGCCCGGGAGCCGGGCTCCGGACCCACGCTGGCCATGGCGAGCGGCGCAGCTAGATACCGGCTGAGCTGCTCGCTCCCGGGCCACGAACTGGACGTGAGGGGCCTGGTGTGCTGCCTCTACCCGCCGGGGGCCTTTGTGTCTGTGTCCCGGGATCGCACCACCCGCCTCTGGGCCCCAGACAGGTGAGCGCTTGCAAGTCCTGCCGCCCGCGGTGGATCGCAGGCTTCCAGACACGTGGGAGGGATGATCCTCCTTCCCTGCAGCGTACCTCTCCTTCTTCCTGGTGTCTGCACTGCTCCCGCCTCCCTGCGGATTCCCGAGCTTTGCACTCCCGGTGCCCGGTCTGCGAAACCGTCCAGATTTCGGGGAATGGGTTTGGGATTGGAGGACCTGGCTGCCTGTCCTAACTTGACCACTAACGGGTGGCTTGACCTTGGACGAGCATCTTAAAACACCTTTAGGGGCTTCAGCTTTGGCCGATAGTCTCTCAGGTTTCTCGTAGACTTCGGTATTTTTTGCTTCTGTGCACCCTCCCAGTTTCGGTAATTTGAAAGCATCTGGCTTGCCTCTCGCTCCGCTCTCAGGAATTGCTCTGTAGTCTTCTCTCACTTTTAATATTTGCAGACTGTAGTTCTCAATAATTGCCTTGCAGAGAGTTACGCGTGGATTTCCCTCCTGGTTGTCAAGGTTATAGGGGAGGAGAGGATGAACCCCCTCAAATGTTAATTGTTGTGTAGGAATGTGCTACTTTTTGAGGAAAACAATTATCATTTCCTTAAGTTCTACCTGCAAGCCCTCCCCCCACCAAAGTTAACCAAAAGTTAAAATCCAGGCCAAATCAATATCAAAGGTTACGTTTAAGCACTGATTAGTCAAGAAATTTAAGACTGAGTAAACAGATTTCAGTTTTCAGAAAGAAAAAATGAGCTTAAGTGATGAGTATCGTTTATTTTCTATCCTGGGGAGAATTGACATCACTGACAGGCTGGCAGGCTCTGTTTACTGAACTTTTTTATAATCTGTTGGGAGACTATGGGCCAAGAAGCAAGCGAATGCACATATCCAGAGTTAGGTGGGAGAGACATTAAAAAGGGAAGCCCTTTGTGTGTGTGTGTGTACATCTCTTAGGAGATCGATTGAGTTAATCCTTGGAAGGTGGAATGGGCCGACTTTGAAGTGGTAAAGCTGAGGTTGGAAGGGCACTATATAGGCTAGGCAGCTAGCATAACAAAAAACTGAGGTCCTATATTGAGAAAGGAAGGTTCCAGGGTGGCAGGAGATAAACTGATGTGAAGGCAGGTCTTAAAGGCTAGCAGGGAACCTTGTTGTGGGGTTTATGTGTAAGAACATTCAGTTTCTAACAGAGCGGTTTGATTTGATGTGATTGTTAAGTTTCTGCTTGCCACAGATAGAAAATAATCTAAAGGCAAAGTGTGGAAGTAGCTCTGTTTGGTGGCTTTTGTAGCGGAGCCAATGGGTGATGGTACAATAGAGTAGGAATATTATAGGGCAGACTGCTGTGTTGAATTGGATAAGATGACCTCTGATCATCTCTTCCAACTATTGAGTGTATGACACTCCAAACCACTCGGTAAAACTAATAGGCAACCTCTGATGTATTTGAGTATAATTGCTGATGAAATTTGTACCTTTAAAATGGTATTCTCAAACAAGCTTATTTAATAAACTTTAAAAATATTGGGATATGGTGTAGCTTCCTGCTTAGCCTATCTGAGACCCTGAATTCAATGCCCAACAAATAGGTAAGATTAAATCCAGAGAAGCATATATCTAAAAGGACAAAAACATTGCAGTAAGGAGTATCTATTCTAAAGGATACCTGTTTTAGTAGTTGAATCCTATCATTAAACTGTACCCTCTGTAAGGCTGCTGTATTGACAGCAGTGGAGTAACTGGAGTAATTGTTTTTATCTGGGATCTTTAGACTGAAATGATCTTCTATTTGAAAACTGATTCTTCTCATTTGTTTTTGTTCTTCAAATTTTGTTTACATATTATTCAACTAACAGTGATCAAAAGCTTACATTTTGCAGCTAAGACTGTTTTCATTCCTCGCTGTTCAGGTCAGTGTCTCAGTCACTCGGTGACTAGCCTCTGCATCTGAGCAAGTTTTCACGATCTAAAAGGAGTCTGTAGTTGGCATACTGAAAGTTTTTACTTCATGGTACATTAATTGAGTTAATGAACGGCTGGCTGTACCATATTGGGAGTGAAGTAGTAATGAAATTTATTTTTCCATGTCCATTGTAGATGTAATCCAGGATCATAGTAGTAAGTGAAGCGATGAACTGAGAATGATGGGAGAATTTAAGAGGTAGAAATAATTGATTGTAGGTAGGGTGGATTAAACACCTAGGTTTTAGCCAAAGTCCACTGAAAACCCAGAAGGTCTAGGCTCAACATAAGAAACATTGTCTTATGGTTATGGACTGAACTGGGCCAGCCAGCATGCTGTGGTTCCACACTGCTGCAGATCTCTTTAAGCATCATGCTAAGTTGGATTCCACAAGTCTGTCACAAACTTCTAGAGTGGGAGAGATGAGGTACGCTTCAGCATCCTTGTCTTTATAGTGACTGGCCTTTTGAAATCTACCCATACTTAAAGATATAATTTAAAATTTAAGACCTTGGATTTTATTTTTCTTGACCGCGCTAGGACAAATGTAACTTCTCCGTCTGGTCCCTGAGCACCTTGGATCCTAAATCAAGACAGTTGTGTGGGGTTAGGAAAGCCAGTTCCATTTCTATGCCAACCCAGATTTTCTTTCCTCAGAAGCAACATTTTTATCTAACTGCTCATTTTGTATTCTATTTCTGTGTCAATGGAAAAAATGCAGTGTTGCAATATTTATGTATTTCTTAAGGTATTATCTATTAGTTTCTGTTCTCATCCATTTCCCTGGACTATTAGTTGGCTCTTTAACTATGATAACCTCTGCTCAAAACTTCTCAAATTAATCTGTTGGTTTCTTTCTCCATTTCTTTTCTGTCTTCTTTCTTAGGAACTTCTTATTCAGATGTTGAGCTTGTTTTCTCCATCTCTTTTCTCTCAGGCTGCTTTCTTGTGGGTTGATCTGAGGAACTTCTGTCCTGATTGCAGTACCTTCCCATAGCTCTACGGATGGAATGATGATTGCTTTTTAATTTTTAAGTTATGGCCTCCTTGGTGGTCCTCTTCCTCTAGATTGTTTTGTTTTCCCACTCCGCTGCTTGATTTGGTCGTTGTGTTTTATGCTGGAGGTTTTCCCTGGATGTCTGTTATTCCTTATGTGCTCAGATCTAAAAAGCTTCTGGGAGGCTATGCTCCTGGGTGGGGCTTGCTGGCTGAAACCTTTACCAAAGTAGCACTGTCTGGGGAGCTGTTTTATTTTGCTCATCTGCCAACAGGATACTGGCCTGGCCTCTGGTGTTTTGTTTTTTTGTGATCTTGGGCTGTGATAGGATTGTACGTGTTCCTTACACTCCAAGGCTCAATGGCTCTTGTGTATCTGTGCTGCTCTGTGTCCTCCCCTCCCCAAGACTTTTTTCTAAAGCAAAAGTTTCAGATTTTCTAGGACACAAGAGGGCCACTGTCTCCCTGCTCTGCCTCTCTCTCTCCCCAACTAATGCTTTTAAGTTTTGGTTGCATTGATTTAAGAAGTACTTAATGTTCTCTTCCTAATGCTGCGACCCACTTAATACAGTTCCTCATGTTGTGGTGACCCCCCCAACCATAAAGTTATTTTATTGCTGCTTCTTAGCTTTAATTTTGCTACTATTATGAATTGTAATGTAAATATACAATATGCAGGATCCCTGTGGGGCCACAACCCACAGGTTAAGAATCACTGATTTGATTTGATGTTTAACCGTGTAAAATATTGTGGTAGGAATTAGGGGAAATAGAAGAAAATGAGACCAAATTCTGGAACTAAGATCCTCCTAGATCACTATAAATGTCCCAAACAAACATCTATGTTGGGAACTGCTAAGGTATATACATAGTTTTACATAATGTAGATTTTATGCTGAGTGTAATGTTGAATGACCACAGAGAATCATGAGTTTGAGCTAAGCTTGTACTGTTACAAGACTGCTTCAAAAACAAACATAGATTCTTTGTTTTTTGAGCCATCTCTGCCACCTCAGAGACATTTAAAAACATGTTTTTTAACTTTCTTCGAGCTTATTAATAAAATAATTTAAAAATCACACTTTCAAAAACTCATTAAAGTAGATAAACTAAAATTAGCTACTACCAAATAGCCTTTGAAGAATTTTTTTTTCTATGGTGCAGTTTCTGACTGATTCTAAAGACTGACAACTAATCTTTCTTACAAAGGTCTGGCTTCTTTGTTGCTATTTTGAGAGATACACTGAACAGATAACTCCCTTGCTCTATAGCCCAGGCAGGCTTTGAACCCTTGATCCTACTGCCTTAGCCTCCACACATCCTACACACCCTGCTCTAATTTTTAAAAAGGTGTGTGTGGGGGAGGGGTATGTGTTTTAGTTACTGTTTTATTGCTGTGATCAAAGCAACTTATAAAATAAAGCATTTAGTTAGGAGGCTTGCTTACAGTTTCAGAGGGATAGTCCTTGAATATTATGGTGGGGAGCACAGCTGCAGGCAGGGAGGTATGGCACTGGAGCAGTAGCTCAGAGCTCACATCTGATCTGAAAGTTGTAGGCAGAGAGAGCAAGACTAGGCCAAGGTTGGGCTTTTGAAACCTCCAAGCCCACCCTCAATGACATAGCTTCTCCAACAAGACCACACCTATTCCAACAAGGCCACACCTCTTTTTTTTTTTTTTTTTTTTTTTTTAAAGATTTATTTATTTATTACGTATACAGTGTTCTGTCTGCATGTATGTCTGCAGGCCAGAAGAGGGCACCAGATCTCATTACAGATGGTTGTGAGCCACCATGTGGTTGCTGGGAATTGAACTCAGGACCTCTGGAAGAGCAGCCAGTGCTCTTAACCTCTGAGCCACCTCTCCAGCCCAAGGCCACACCTCTTAATCCTTCCCAAATAGTTCTACTAACTGGGGACCAAACATTAAACTATATGAGTCTAAGGAAACCATTCTTAACTCAAACATCACTGTATGTTTGCTCACATGCTTGTACAGACACTCAAGGAGGACAGGAATGTCCTATTCTATGGCTCTCTGCCTTATTT